GGGACACCAGGACGTGCGGGAGCAGGGCCAGTACGGGGGCACCGGGAGGACCGGGACTTGTGGACAGCATCTAGGCGGCTTTGGTAGCACCGGGAGGACAGGGGGTACCGGGACGTGGCGGGCAGGATCCAGGCGGCTTGGGCGCGGGGGACCGGAGCAGAGCAGGGCGCACGGGTAGGACTGGGACAGCGCAGAGCTGGGGAGGTACCGAGGGGGCACCGGGGAGCACGGGGCTTAGCTGACCCCGACCCAAACCCCCGGCCCGTAACTGTGATACCGGCAGCTCCGAGCATCCCTCGGTCCTGGGGCGGTTTCTCAGGGCGCCCTTGCTGAGAAAAGCCTCTTTTTTTTCCCGAAGTTAGGCTCAATAACGGTGGAGAGCGGCTGGGAGGGACACGGTGGCTGTGAGCCCTGGAAGGTGTAACTCTCGGCTCTGCTTAAAAATGGGGAGATGGAGAACGGGAAGGTCCTGCACTGAGGGTGGGCTGAGGGGGGCTTGTCCACCCTGCACTCCCCATTTCACTGGGCACATGAACTGGTTGGGGAGCGAGGCAGGACAGCAGCTCTCGTGCCAGCAGCAGGATGGACCGAGTTCCCCACTGTGGGACACTGAATCACAGTTCAAAATAAATCCTCAGGGTTGCTAATTGTTGCTGGAATCCCATCTAGCTGGTTACTGGGCTCCAGCATCCATCCAGTTTCCAGGTGGTTGCATGAGCAGCAGCATCAGCAGGGCCACGAGCACCCAGGACACGGTGGGTCCCCCCTGAGAGCAGGCTCTGGGTTGGCCTGAACCCTTCAGGATGAGTAGATCAGGCAGTTGGCTGTAGAGCTCTTCCTCTGCCCTCTGCTTGGGATATCCCTGCCCAAGCCAGCTTGGAGTTCCATACAATCACTACTCTGATGGGGAGAATCCCTTCCTGGAGACCCGAGGCAGGGAGAAGGTTTGGATGAGGAAGGGCTGTGGAGCTCTTTTGTCTCCCAAATCCCCTCCATCCATTCCTGCATCTTCTGTGTAAGGAGGCTCCGTGGGACAGACCCTGGTGGTCAGGCAGTGTTTGGGGTCCCCCCAGTTGCAGGCACTCAGCACCCAACTCCCATCCAGAGCTCTGGGGGAACTGTGGGAGCTCAGCATCCTGAGGAAGCTGAGACTGAGGTAGGCGGACACTGGAGCACCAAATTCCAGCTCCCCTCAACACTTGGGACAAAACAGGCTTTAAAATGGTTAGGTTTGATGGCAACCAGGGTGGGATGTTCAGAGGGCTGGGGAGATGCCCAGGAGGTGTTGGTGCTGGCAGAGGGTTCCTGTTACGGGGGGTGGCTCTTGGAGCAGCCAGGAGAGTTGGGGAACACAGTTCCAGCCTTCAATTTGAATGGCTTTGATTTCTGCGGCTTCCTCAGCCCCTTCATGTTAATTAAATAAGTTTTTGTGGGAGAAGGCTAGCTCTCATTTGCATGCATAATTCGCTGCACAATTATCCTGATGGGACATGCAAATGGGATAAGTCGGTGCTCCATTGGGCACTTGGACCTCTTTGCTCCCAGCCGCCCCACGTAGGGCTGTGTGAGCGGGGCCGGAGCGCGGCTCCCAACGGCACACCTTTCTCCTGGGAAGGGGAGATGACAAACCTCCCTGGCACACAAACACACCCTGGGCTGGGTGGGCAGAGTGCCCTGCCTGCTGGGCAGGGGCATGGGGCATCGGGGGCCTCTGGGTGGTGGGTGGCTGCTGGGTTGGGTACCTTTGGTTGGGTTTGGTGATGGTGGATCCGCCCATCCCATCCCGTTTGCTCCTCTCGGTGTGAGGATAAAGCCTGACCTGTGCTATTTCTGAGCACTTCCCGAAGGAGTCAGGTGGGTGGTTGTATTTTTAAGACTGGGATAAGGATGGGCTTTGGGATTTCTCCTCAGCTGTGAGTCATGGATATGGGCAGGGTATAATCATGGAGCAGAGTGGTTGGTAAGAGGCTCTCGGTGTGCCCGAGCCCCCTGTGACACCACAACATGCACGTCTTCCCTTTCCCTCCCAGCATCCATGGCTCCTGGCTCATGGAAAGGTGTCCTTGCCCATGGCAGGGGGTGAAACAAGATGATCTTTAAGGTTCCTTCCAACCCAAAGCATTCTGTGATTCTCTGTGTCTGGACTCCCCATGGCTGTTCCAGATGAAGCTCTGGGGACATCTTCCTGGCAAACCCAGAGAGCACTGGGGAGGAAGGCAGGACACCTTGGCAAAAACAGCTGCAGCACCCTGGGCACTGCAAGGAGCCATTAGTGTGGGGTGGGAGCTCACAGCAGCCACTTCAATTGAATTTTAGGAGTTGAGGTGCTGCTCCACTCTCCACACTGGAAGATCATCACCCGCTGCCGGCCACTTACCCTCGCCCCCACACCATTACCACTGAAATCCAGCTGCTGTCAGCAGCTGGGTCAGGATTTTCCCCACTCCTGGCTTCATTTTGCAGCCATTTGAGCCTCCTCCTCTGGGCATCCATCCGAGGGACACAGGGTAGTGTTTTCTGGCAGCCTGTGCCAAGGTGTCAGTGCTCTGTACACACCCTCCATGTGTGTTTTAATGGGGAAAGCCTTGCAAATAAAACCCTGGGACCCACCCGTGACACAGAGCTCCTAGCTGGCTGAGTGTAGGGCTCAGGGAGTGAGGGGGGATGCAGCAGTGGCCAAAGATGTCTCCCAGCCACAAGAAGCCGGACTGGGAGTGTCCAGTTCTGAACCCCATGTCCTGCAGCTCCCAGTGTTCATCCCAGGAGGATGGAGGAAGCACTCCTGAGACAAACTGGGAGCCTGGATTCATTTCATAGCACTCAGGATAAATCCTAAATCTCTCCCCACTTCAGAAAACCTTCAGAGCTTATTTTTAACTCCTTGTAAGCAAAGGACAGCATCTTCCCTGCATCTCTTTTAAACCTATTTTGGGATCCTGAGCATTTGATGTGGTTGAATATCCTGGCATTTCCTTTTAATTTAGCATCTGAAATGATCATGGGGACCATCGGGAGCAGCCAGGACCAGTAATTACAACTGATGTGCAGTTTATAGAAACAGGGAAAGTTTACAATGAAAACGTGCAGCTAAGAATAACCTGGGGAGCAGGAGGAAGGGTGGGATCTGGGAAGGGATCAGGAGCTGGGAGACACTGTGAGGTTCAGTCTAGATCGAGCTGGGTATCCCCTGCCAGAGGAATGGCCCCAGGGCCGTTTATAAGTAATTTTTATAGTGGTTTTTGGGGGGTGGTGGGAGCACATATTCAACTTCGTGATGACATTCAGCTTTAGGGAAAGACACGGCAGCTCTTTGGGATGAGAGACAGTAAATGCCAAAGGAGGGGGCAAGGAGAGCAAAGCACTTGGGCTGGGCTTTTTTAGTGTGTCTCATCCGCAATCCGGATAATCCGCCCACAGATAATTGAGGGTTGGTGGTGTGGCTGAGCCAACCCGCCTCGAATCAATAGCAGGTTCCCAACAGGGAGCCGGGGGGGCATCTCCAGCACACCCCCAGCAGCATTTTAGCACCCACTGTTCTACTTGGGCACCCACAGGGTGCTTTGGGGGTTGTAATTTCACAGGAGTTTATAATGTAGCAGGAAACACGGTCATATTAAACTCCCTCCAACCTGCTGTTTGCATCTGATCCTATCCTGATGTCTGCACAGGAGGGGATGCTTCTTCCTTGGTCCTGCCCCTCCAAGGGTTTTCCCTCTTCCTCTCCATGAAGGGGCAGAGTATTCAGGGGTTCCTCCCAGTCTCTCATCACAAACACTAGACATATTGCTGTTAAATCCATCTTATTTGGTTCATCAAGGAGCTTATCTATTTGCATCCCCTATAGCATTTCTCTTGCTGACCAGGTGTTCCTGGGCTTCCCTCCCACCAGCTCCCCTCCTCTGCCTTCATCCCTGGACCCCTCCATCACCTCCACAGCACACTGATGGGAAGTTTTCATAACAAACTGCTGCTTTAACAAAGGTTTTCACTCTTCTCCGGGGCCAAAAATCACCCTGGGGGCTTTTTTCTGTGGTGTGGGGTCTCTGTGACCTCCTTGGCTCCCCAGAAAAATCCCTCTGCCCATTCCTGGGTGAGGGCCCATCTGCAGCATTGCTTTGCTGAAGGTGCTCATGTGTGAAGATCCTGGTGATCTCAGAGCAGAGGGGTGACCCGAGTACCCAGGCGACTGAAAATACCCAAGGGGACACCACTCTGTACCTGGGCATCCCCTGGACCGACCATGAGACATCCCACTGAGGGTTTATCAGTGCCAAAAAAAAAGAGAGGCGATTCCTTTGGTTGTGTTTTGGGGGGGGATTTAGGGATTTTGTAACATCCATGAGGCACCGGCGGCTTCGGCAGCACCACTGAGAGTGTAAAACCATCAGCGCTGGGTTGGTGGAAGGAATGGAAAAGAGGGAAGAGCCTGAGGGGCTGCAGTGGGTTTGGGGGGCTGGTGTGTCCCCCTCCAAGGGGTGCACGGGCTGGATGCAGCTCCCCACAGCATCCTCCTGCCACAGCTGGCAGCCGCCCCGCCGGAGCAGGAAACGTTCTCCGCATCCGCCCTGCCCGCCTGGCCCTGGGCTTTTTTTGTAACATAGCTTGTGGTGAGGCCAGTAGCTGGAGGGAATGTGGGATTTGAAAAAAAAAAAAAAAAAAAAAAAAAAAGAGGGGAGAAAAAAAAGGAAAAAAGAAGAAGAAGCAGCAAAAAAAAAAAGACCTGTGGGTACGCAAGTGAAATCTCGGCGTTGGGTTTGGAGAGATGCGTCGCGCTGCTCCCCCCGTGTGAATGGGAACAGCTACTTTATGGGGAGTTAAAACTGGAATATTTCTCCCCTGGAACTGGTTAAAAAATGGATTTAAAATGTGCATCTTTATTTAATTATTTATTTGGTTGGTTTGCTCTTGAAAGTACGGATGGGTTACGTTGCTTTTGTGCCTGAAGCAGGAGAAGCTTTAGTCATATTGAATCATATTTAATCACATACTTTAATTATATTGAGACAAGGCAGATTGGAATATTTTTAAAGGACAATTTGAAGCAAATAATTACACATTAGAGAAACTGTGTGGGGCTGCATTACTGCAAAGAAAGACAATGGGTTATTCTGTATGGACTTAAAAAATCAAATCAGCAGATTTTTTTTCTTTCCCAGCATGCAATGGATTGATGCAAAAATAAGGTGTTTCTAGTAAAAAGGGAGGTTTTATTTTTACAGAGAAGTGACCTTACAATCCTGCATAGGCTGAAAGTCCTCCCATTTCAGCAGCCCCAAGCATGAGGGCAAGAGAGGACTTGTGGTACCCAGCAATGGCCCTGGAGAGCCCTGTCCTGCTGCAACAAAAGTTTGGAAAACCCCAATTCCTGCTCCAGATGGTCCTGCTGACCTCAAATTTTTTTTGTGTGTGTTTTTCAGCACAGAAGGCTGCAGCTCCTAAACCATGGCACGAGTGGCAGCTTCTCTGTGCTCCTCCCACAACCAACACTTGTGCTTTTAATTTTAATTTTAATTACTAATAAAGGAAGAAGGCTGGGAGGCTGGCGGGTCTACAGCAAAATAAAGTTGGGGGCTGCAAAAATAGGGGGGGGGGCAGGATGCATCAAGATTAAAACTTTTGGGAGAGGAGAGAGAGAGGAATTTGCCAAGAGCTTGGGGTGGGGGGTGAAGGCTCAGAGGCAGCAGGTTTGTCCCCAAAGTGGGGACAAGGAAGTTGGGGGGGACTCGGTGGGAGGGAGGTGAAGGCTTGGATCAGCCTGCTGGGGTCTGGCAGAGCCCTCCCTGAGCCCTTTGCTCTGCAGTGGAGCAGGACCGGGACATGTTCTCTCCGAAGCCGTACTGGAAGGAGTTCAGGTTCGACCTGACCCAGGTGCCCGCGGGCGAGTCCGTCACGGCCGCCGAGTTCCGCATCTACAAAGCCCGGGGGACGTCCCGGCATGGCAACAACAGCCTGCACATCAGCATCTACGAGGTGGCTGCAGGGCACTCCAACAGGTGAGGGGCTGAGGACGGGAGCGGGGATGGGAATGGGAAGGATGGAGATGGGGAACGGGGATGACAGGGATGGGAATGGGGTGGGAGTCATGGAATCATAGAATCAACCAGGTTGGAAAAGACCTCCCAGATCATCAAGTCCAACCCTTGATCCAACCCTGTCGTGGTTCCCAGGCTGTGGCACTGATGCCACATCCAGTCTCATCTTAAAAACCTCCAGGGATGGTGAATCCACCCCCTCCCTGGGCAGCCCATTCCAGTGAAGAAGGTGGTATGGGAATAAAATGGGGATGAGGATGGGAATGGGAATGAAGAGGATGGAGGTGGGAATGAAGATGATAAGGATAGGAATGGGTGTGGGAATGAAGAAGAAGGGAATAGGAGTGAAAATGATGGGAATGGGGATGAGGATGGGAATGGAGAAGATGGGGATGGAAATGGATATGGGAATAAAGGGGATGGGAATGGATATGGGAATAAAAAAGATGGGAATGGGAATGAAAATCGTGGGGATGGGAATGGGGATAAGGATGCGGATGAAGATGGTGGGGATGGGATTGGGGATGGGAATGAAGGGGTGGGAACAGGGGTGAAGATGGTGGGGATGGAGACAGGAATGGGAACCTGCACAAGAACCAGCTCCAGCACTTTCCCTTCCCACTACCATAAAAACACCAAGCCAAGTGGCACTGCCACAATCAGCTGTTCCCAAAGTTTCCAACAGGGAAATGTCACACCCTGATATTTTGGCCAGGGCAGGGAGGGTGCATTTTCCAGGATGCCACCATCGTGTCCAGCACAGCCGGCGGCATCAAGAGCTACTGACCTGACCCTGCGGTGCCAGGGCCTGTCTGGACACAGGCACCAAGCAGTAATTTCCAAGAATTATTGCTGGTGCTGGTGCCCTTTGGGTGCTGTTACTCACCTGCTCTTTCCCCCCTTGTTTCTGCAGGGAATCTGACCTGTTCCTGCTGGATGTCCAGGACCTGCGTGCCGGGACAGAGGGTTGGCTGGTGTTTGACGTCACAGCTGCCAGCAACCACTGGTTACTGGATCAGAAATACAACCTGGGGCTGAGGCTCTACGTGGAGACAGATGATGGTGAGTTTGATGAACCTACCTGCAAGCATTTGAGGCCAAATTCCCAAGAACTGGAGTCTTCCCATCTCCCCACTCGGTGCCATGGGATGTGATGTTGGGGTTTGTCCCACTGCAATTTTAAATTCCTTGCTGTGACAGAGAACCCACAGGTGCCAGAAGTCTGGGTTTGCAGGCAAACCTGGATGGAAAACCCTTCCAAAGGCTTCATGCTAATGGGGTGGACTGTAATTAACCCCATTAACACTTAATGAACTCCCTACCTGGAGGGATCCTGCTGTGTGTGCCAGAGGATTAACCCTCTTTTCCCCGTGGGATCAGCTCTGGTCCCACACTGCCTTTTGCAGGCGCACAGGCACACTCAGAGCATCTCCACTCCCATGGGGCCAGCAATCACAGCTGGGAATGCTCCCTCCATTCCCTTCCCCTCCCAGCTTTCCTCCCCAGGGGACAAGGGGCAAACTGATCACTTGGTTTTAATCCTTGAATCGCTCTGTGTGGCCGTGATGTGGTGGTGGGTGCGTGGCTGTACCACCTCCGGGCTTCAAACCCCTCGGGGTGCCGAAACCACAGCTCTCCACTGCAAATTTCTTCTGGTTTGACTCCTTGCTTTAACAAAATGAGTTCGTTCTGGGAGCAAACCCACGCCTGGTCCTGTCCCTGCAGGGCACAGCGTCGATCCGGGCTCGGCGGGGCTGTTGGGGCGCCGGGGGCCCCGCTCCAAGCAGCCCTTCATGGTGACTTTTTTCCGGGCGAGTCCCAGCCCTGCCCGTGTCACACGAGCGGCCAAACCCCCGAGGAGGCGGCAGCCCAAGAAGACCAACGACCTCCCACATCCAAACAAGCTCCCGGGAATTTTTGGTAAGAGCTTTGCTGGGGGGGAGGAGCGATCCCTGTGGAAAACACCAGGCTCTGCTGCTGCCACCAGGGATCTGCTGTCAGCACCTTCAGCTGTTGGAAATCCCAGTTTTTGGGCTCAAGGGAAGCAGAGCAGAGAGCTCTGGGTTTTTAGGATTGGGTTGTTTGCAGTTAGGGAGATGCAGAGGGTTTGGGTTGGTTGCCCCCGAGGAAATGGTGTTTCCTGAATATTGGAATTTTTGCCCCAGTGCCCTTGGCTTTGAAGCCACCCTGGGAAGGTGTCATCACCCCGGAAGGGTGTCACAGCCCCAGAAAGGTGCTCAGGCAGGAGGGGAGCGGGAAGCTCCAGCTCTCCTGAACCCACTGAATTTGGGAAACCCACAAAGTCATCTTCTCTGTGAGCAAAGCTATGATATAACCCTTCCAAGGCCAAATTCCTTCACCCCAATGTTGGAACATCAAATTATAGGCCAGTCTGAAGCTCCTTTTCCCTTCGTGCAGCAGCAGAGGCTCCTCCCCTTTGGTTCTCCTGGACTAACTCCTGTCATTTGGGCTGTATCCCTCCCTGGAGAGGGGATGGCTGCAGTGAGGGGTGGGATGGGGGATGCCAGGGCTGATGTTCCCTGTCCCTTTCTCCCACAGATGACGTCCACGCCGCGGACAGGCGGCAGGTCTGCCGGCGCCACGAGCTCTACGTCAGCTTTCAGGACCTCGGCTGGCTGGTACTTGTCTACTGGGAGAAGTAAATGCAAAAAAACCCCACCCAAACCAAACAACAACAACAAAAAAATCATCCCATTCCTCTGTCCTGGGCTCCTTCCCAGCCCAGATTCTCCTGCCCGTGAAGCCATCCCGAGAGCTGGGAAGGCAAACATGAACTGCCACAACCCCAAACCCCTTTGCTGACCTTGAGCAACTCATGGCTCAGTCCAAAAAATCAAAATAAACCCTTGCTACTGGCAGGGCCACCCGGGGAGGAGGTGGTTGAGTTGTTTGTGCAGGTGGGGAATGGAGGAAGGGGCACAGGAAGGTGAAGCCCTCAATATAATCCCTTTTTTTTGCAGGACTGGGTGATCGCTCCGCAGGGATACTCAGCCTATTACTGCGAGGGGGAGTGTGCCTTCCCCCTGGACTCCTGCATGAACGCCACCAACCACGCCATCCTGCAGTCCCTGGTCAGTGCCACCCAAAAGAACAGACCCGGGGGGACACTGAGGGTCTTGGGGAGCAGTAGGAGCCCGGTGGGTCCTGATGGAGAACAGGGTTTTGGGATGAGCATGGCTGGGTTTGAGGCTGTTCGGGTCAGATGGTGCAGTTCAGCTGCTGGTCCAGATAAAGTATTAGTAGGTGCATGCACCTCTGGATGTGTGCTCACACAGCTGGATGGGTATTTGCACATCTGGGTGGGTGCTCGCAGGCTGGTCCCCACCACAGGATCACGGGAGGTTCTGATACAGCATTTCAAGGCATTCATGGAGAAACAAGTGTGAGGGCACACAGGTCACCAGCTCTGCCCATCAGCCTGAGCCAGAGGGGTGTAACAGGGGGATTTTGTAATTCCAGAGCTCCTCCGTCTCTTGGTTTTCTGACTGACACGATCCTGCTCCAGTTTAACAGCAGCTGGGACAAAACAGATGATTTCTGACAGATTAATTGCCCCCTCCCCTGGCAGTGGACTCAGGAGCAGGGACAAGCCCAGGGCTCACCAAGGCCCCTACTCCTCCCTGGAAAGGCTCCGTGTCAGCCGTGCCCGAGGGTTTATCCACAGCCCTGGAAAGCACCGCTGCGGCTCAGCACCCAAACGCTGGGCTCAGCATATTCCAAGCAGGAAAAGCTTTAGTGTCCCTCTTTTCCCAAACCCACCCCGCATCCCAGCCAGTGCTTTAATTTCTGGAATTTCCTGCCCTGTGAGTGTTTGGTTTCCCAATGGCAGAGCCACACCGGCTCCGGTGCTCGCGGTTAATTACAGGGAGCGCCGAGCCCTCGGCCGAGCCTTTGAAGGTGTCGCCTGGCGGGGTTTAATTTTGACATTAACGAAGCTTCCAGGGCCCATCCGGGGCTGGGAAGGATCCTGGCAGCGGCGGGGAGGGGCCCCCTTCCCCTCTACACCCACCCATCGCCCCTAAACCCAACGCTCTTCCCAAAACGGAGCCGTTTTGGGCAGGATGTGAATCACCTGGCGCCCGGATCCGGCCCTTCTGGGAAGCGCCAGGGCAAAGGCGGCTGTGGAGCTGTGCCAGCCCCAGCCTGTGCTGCAAATAGCAGGGTTTGACAGCAAAAACACCGGACTTCCGAGCTGGGAGAGCTGGGCTGCCCCTGCCATAAATTAATCGCACATGTCGGGTGAAGCCAGCGAGGGCTCCGCGCGTCCGGCAGCCCGGGAGCCTCCGACTGATGCTGCACAGCAAAATCCCGGGATAACGCCTGTCCTGAGCGGGGGCTGAGCGAGCTGAAGGGGACTTGTGTTCAGAGAGGTGTTGTGTATTTAGGATTTTAGTGGAAGACGTTAAATTCGGGGTGGAGGATCTCTTATTGCAGCGCCCCCCGCCCACACCGGAGCCTGACCCGCACTGCCCTGATTTATGTTCTTTTTTTAGTCATTTGTCTATTTTTGTGAGAAAAAAGGGCCCTGAAGTCCCAAATTAATGAAGGGGCTGCCTGGCCCATGCAGTGCCTTGAGCCCTGCTCCAATATAAACTGCAGCAGCGACTGCCCGGAGTTCAGGATAAATATTTTTGCAAAACGCTGGGAATAATCTCCCCATTCACCCAGGATTTTTGCAGCTATGAGTCGGTTTGATGCTTTTTCTTTTGCCTGGAGCCACGTTTGCTGCATCCCTCCCCCAGGTCCACCTGATGAAGCCTGAGGCCGTGCCCAAGGCGTGCTGTGCCCCCACCAAGCTCAGTGCCACCTCTGTCCTCTACTACGACAGCAACAACAACGTCATCCTCAAGAAGCATCGCAACATGGTGGTGAAATCGTGTGGCTGCCACTGATGGACAGGTCCCATCCCCATCCCTGAACATCCCATCCCCACCTCTGAATGCCCCATCCTCAAACATCCCATCCCAACCCCATCCCTGAACATCCCATCTCCATCCCTGAACGTCCCATCCCACCCCCACCAGAGCAATGTGACACTGGGTTTCTGCTGCGTGTGTGGAAGAGGAGTTTCATGGGCTGCATCAGAGCCAGAAGTCCATTAATAATAATAATAATAATAAATAATAAAAATAAATCCCTCCCACCCCTTCCTAGAAGTGGATGTAAATAATATAAAACTTCTATTCTCTTACCCTGCTTAATGAGACACATAGATATATACAAGCATATATATATATATAGGAAAGAGAGGATTTGTGGCTGGTTCTGTGTCTGGTTTGTCTGTGGCTGATGTGTTTTCCCCTCATGCTGCTGCAGTCTCTGGTGGAAGCAGTTTGGGCTTAAGGGTAACTAGGACAAGGGAGGCAGCATCTGAGTTGCTCTGGGATTGAGCTGTTTCTAGCTGTGTATTTCTAACTAACCCACCTCTACCCAGTGCTTTTAATTCCCTTAATGAAAATATCATCAGCCAATTAAGTAGCTGGCTGACTAACCCGCTCCTGTTTACCTAAAGTTCACCAAACTCAGCCACTTGGAAAAAAAATAAAATATCCATATTGAGCTACGGCACTGTTATAAAATAAACGCCTAGTTTGGAAAGTAAACATGGAGTTTCTCTTGCTCTTTCTTTTTTAATGTCACAGCACAACAGTGCTCTGTTTGGAGGACATTTCGCAATGAAAAAATACTCAGAATCGGCTAAAATTGTACCTATTTGCTTGAAAATGAGCCCTGATGTGAGTTTTAGGTCAGGCTGTGCTCACCAGTGGATGCTTCCCGTGGGCTCCTAAAAGGGCTGTGAGTGCCCTGGGTGGCTTCCCTGGGCTATTTGTACAATTAAATTATTTATTTGCTCTGATTTTAAAAGGAAAAGGCCTGTCCTGGTTCTCAGCTCAGATACCTGGGGGAACCTTGTGTCACTAAACAAATAATGAACCTGGAAAAAAATCCCAATATACCCACCGAAACAAGAAAGATCTGCTCCTAGTCAATGCCCAGCTTCCCAAGCAAAGGTGTTGCTTCTTTGGGTATCTAATTCCACATGAAATCCAGCTTGGGATGTGATCATGGCTCTGTCTGACCTGGTGATTTCTGCAGAGAGAAAACACCCAGGGCTTCCATCACTCTGGGCTCTCTCCCTGGTTCAGGCCCTGCAAGGGCTGTCTTCAAAAATCTGAGATTTAAACATCAGAAAGAAGAGAGCAAGGAAGGGAAAAGCTGGACTGGTTAGTCTGTTTGGAATCACGTCTGAGTGCCTGTGTCTCACCTTGGTCCAGTTTTGGGGCAATGCAGGGCCCCCAGACACTGTGGAAAGCCAGCAAGTGAATAAAAGCAACCCAGTTTTTCTTATGGAAAAGCAACACCCCCGACCTGGGAAAAACCAAAAACCCCCAATGACACAAGCTCCTCAAAAGATCAACCCATCCCCACACAGCTGACCCTCCTCTCTGTCCCAGCTGCCTCATCCCTCTTGACAACACCTGCACATGCTCAAGCCCACCCACCCCTTCCTTCCCTCCAGTGCCATAATTTCATAGGAAACCCCAAATCCATCAATTCCCACCACTGTGTTCTCCTTTTTGGTGCACAGCCAGAGCTGCCCACCACAAGAACTATAAATCCACGTGATTATCCTACTCTTCAAACTGGAGTTTGGAAATTAAACCCCTTCCTAAAGCCTCATCACTTTGGTTTTTTTTTTTCCTTCATCACCCAAAGGGCTCTTTCATTTTCTGGTGTTTCCTGACCATGTTTTCCCTCTTACACATCCCAGTAAACACCCTCCCTCTGGGATGGGGATGGAGCTGGACCAGGCTGGCTTTCCAGCAGGAAGGCTGCCAGCCAGGGACCTGCCTCCCTCTGCTGATGGAAAAGGACACTACAAAGCCAGGGATATGCCAAAAACACCTCCACAAGATCCTGCTGTGGAATAAGCATGAGAGATTCGGCTCAGCTCTTTTCCTGGCACAGGTAGCTTTCCCTGGAGCCAGGATTTAGGCACGAGATTAATAAAGACAAGGGTAGAAGGGAAAAAAAAAAAAAAAAGAAGGCATTTTTGCTGAAAAACAAAGACCAGTCTCACACAGAGACAGTCTGAAAGCCAGGTCCTCAGTATTTTTAAAACTAGCTTTTATTTTTCCCAAACATAAAGTCTTTCTGGAACACGGCAGCAGGACCAGCCCTGCCCTGCTCGGGCTGGGAAGTGATTTATCCCGGGAAGGTCGGACCCCTCAGCACTGCCCTCAGGCACCTTCCCTCCAAGCTTTGCAGGGGAATTTCAACAGAAGCCAGGACTGGGCGCTGCTGGGGAGTTGCTGGGCTGTCCCATTCCAGCTGGTTCCCTGTCCCTCCTGGCCAGGCTCGCCCCATCCAGCCCCTCCAAGAGCCGAGCTCACGGGCACTCCCCGCAGTCCGAGATGATCACCTTCTGCTTCGGCTTCCCATCTTTGGTGCCCTGAGCCTTGGAGAAAAAAAACAGCAGCAATTAAGGGCACCAAGCTCTTAATTAAGGGCAGGAAGAGGGTCAGCTGTGCCCAGACCACCCTGCTGACCAGCACCTACCTCGATCTCCCGCACCACGTCCATGCCCTCCGTCACCTCCCCGAACACCACGTGCTTCCCATCCAGCCAGTCTGTTTTATCACAGGTGATGAAGAACTGGGAGCCATTGGTGTTTGGGCCAGAGTTTGCCATCGACACCATGCCTGGGATCAAAGAGTGCAGTGTTATGGCTGAGAAGGGAGTGACGGATTCCAGCACGAGCTGCTACTTTGACCCAAACCCATTCCCATTTCCTGCAAAATGCTCCTGGATTTAGGAGAGCTTCTGAATATCAAAATCCACAGAAACTACTGGAAACCGATTATGTTGACAAACACTTGCAAGCATGAAAGATGGAAAGGGGTAGAAGCTGCTTAGCTATTTTTAGCTGCAGTAACAGCAAAGATGTTTGTAGGGAGATAAACCTGCTTGCCTGTTCCCGCTTTTCATAGTCACGCGGTGACATTCCTCCTTTAAAACGGAACAGGAAAGCAGCTTTGAAATCACTTTTTCATTATGTAACACTGGAAATTAACTGTGTGGTTGGAGAGGGAACGAGGCATTTCTGCTTGGTGACACACGAGGGGCTGACCAGGGCAGATCACATGGTGGCAGACGCATGTGGCCAACGTAGATCATAATTCAGGGCCAGTACTACCAACTTGGTGCAAGACAAAACAGCCCAAATGTGGCCCCTAGATGATATTAAACGATTTTCTCTCCTGTTCCTGCCTGGAGATGGGCTTTACCTGGCCCTGTGTGTTTGAGAATGAAGTTTTCATCATCAAACTTCTTCCCGTAGATGGATTTGCCTCCGGTGCCGTTGTGGTTGGTGAAGTCGCCGGCCTGGCACATGAACTGGGGGATGACGCGGTGGAAGCTGCTCCCTTTGAAGCCAAACCCTTTCTCGTGGGTGCAGAGGCAGCGGAAATTCTCTGTAGGGGGGGCAAAGGGGAGAGAGGTGAGAGCTGTGACACTGCTGGAAGCCACCAGGGCAGGGAGGCCGAACCTTCTCCCCACCTGCGGTCATGGGCACCACGTCCGAGCGCAGGAGGATCCGCAGCCGCCCCGCGGGTTTGTTCCCAATCTTGATGTCCATGTAAACCTGAGGGTTGACCCGGGATTTCTTGGCAGGAGGCTCGTCCTGGGCAGGAAAAGAAACAAAAGCAAGTTTTGATGGCACTCCTCTGCTGTGCTTCCAGAGATGGCCAGTCTCACGCTCTTAGCCTTTGGAATAGTGCGGATACAGATGGCTGGGATTGTTTTTCCTACCTCTTGTGCCTCTGGTTTGGGGGCCTCTGTTCCTCCCTCCTCTTTGTTCTCCTCCAAAGTCTTCCCTGAAAACTTCTTCAGCCACTCGTCATCTGACCAGACTGTGACAGCAAAAGGAAAAGTTAGATGACAGGAATTGATCCAAAAGGCCACACCTGAGTTTATGAACAAAGCTCTGAACATCCACAGGGATGTTCTCCCCCTCCCAGGCACCAACTCACCAGGCCTGGATGATCCTTCTTTAATTCGCATGGGTTTGGCCAAGTTCACACGGATGGTCCTGCCAAAGAGCTCAGACTCATTCTGCAGAGGGAAAAAAAAGCACAACAAAGCCCACCCAAAGGTATAAAATCACCGTGCCCCCCAAAGTCCCCACAGAGGTCAGAGGAGGACAGAGCCTGTGTTCTCTCTGCAGCCCACAGCACAGAGGGCAGCAAAGCCACAGGTCTCTGGGTGAGTGGGAACAGGGACCATACCATGTTGTCAATTGCTGCTGCTGCATCCTGCCAAGAAATCAAAATAAAATAATTATTATCCTTTCTTCTCTCCCTTTAAAAGCAAGGCTAAGCATAGACATGCCCCAGCACTTCATTACAGAAAAGGCTGCCAGATTTTCCTAAACCTCATCTGCCCCAGGGCTGATGGATCTTCCAAGAGCCGTATCCAAACCAAGATCTGGGTCTCATCTTCCAACAACCCAGTAAATCCATTTTATTTAAGATGTTTTATTGTTGACACCAGCACTTGGGAGAGGAGGAGAGATCTGTGCATGAAACCCAGGACAGACCATAAGAAGACAAATATATGACAGTCTATGCTGCCCATGAAGCCAAGAAACCCACCCAGGGACAATGGCAGGGAGGGGTTTGGGCCAGCAGTAGCTGTGCTTCAGCCCAAAAGAAAACGGGAAAAGTGGGAACTTGGAAAAGCAGGAACTTGGAAGAGGAGAACAACATCTCCCACTGCCGGAGAGTGATTCAATGCTGTGGCAGGTATAAGCCCCACCCGCTTCCATGGACTGTCTCCAAAGGGAAGAGGATCCATCCCAAAACCCCAGGGGAGGAAAAGCCCGGAGCAGCCCCAGCATTTGCCCCTTTCCTCACCTCCGCCAGCTCAAACTCCACGAAGGCGAATCCCCGGTGCTTTTCTGGAAGGAGAGAAGCGAGAGGGTCACGGGCAGCACAGACACAGCGGTCCCACGGAGCGACGGGGGTCCCATCCCATCCCATCCCATCCCATCCCATCCCAGGGAATACCGCACGCCGGGGATGCGACGGTTGTACGCTGGTCCCCATCCCCATGTCCCGATCCCCACGGGAATACCGCCACGCCGGGGATGCCCCGCCGTGTGCCCGCTGTGCCCAGCTCGTGCCCAGCAGCAGCCACCCGGTCTTCGCGTAGTCAAAGCGGGTATCTGAGATGTCTGGTGATGTCTACCGAAGCGGATGAACGGCGTGCGATGCAGCAGCCTTTCGTCACCTTCGCTGCGGCACAGCCCCGCCTGCGGAAGGAAACCGGGAGCAGCGGTCACCGGAGCAGCTCGCCGGGCACGGCGGCCCGCTCGGGGCACCCCGGCCGCGCCACTTCACCCACGATACAGCACCCTTGGTGGCCGCATCGCGCCCCGGTGCCCCCGGAACGGGTCGGGACGGGACGACCCGCCCGGAACGGCGCCATCGCCCCGCCCTCGGAGCGAAGGATGGGCGGTGCGGGCGGCGGGTTCCACGGGGGATTTATTTCCCTGTGAGAGCTCCCGGGAAGCTGCCACCCTGGCACGTGCCACCCACCAGCTTCCAGGCTTTTCCTGAGCTGCTTTTTCCTGGTACTGCGAGGGGGAGTGTGCCTTCCCCCTGGACTCCTGCATGAACGCCACCAACCACGCCATCCTGCAGTCCCTGGTCAGTGCCACCCAAAAGGACAGACCCGGGGGGACACTGAGGGTCTTGGGGAGCAGTAGGAGCCCGGTGGGTCCTGATGGAGAACAGGGTTTTGGGATGAGCATGGCTGGGTTTGAGGGTGTTCGGGTCAGATGGTGCAGTTCAGCTGCTGGTCCAGATAAAGTATTAGTAGGTGCATCCACCTCTGGACGTGTGCTCACACAGCTGGATGGGTACTTGCACATCTGGGTGGGTGCTCGCAGGCTGGTCCCCACCACAGGATCACAGGAGGTTCTGATACAGCATTTCAAGGCATTCATGGAGAAGCAAGTGTGAGGGCACACAGGCCACCAGCTCTGCCCATCGCCCTGAGCCGACGCATTCACCTCCACCCTGAACAAGGTGTTGAACTCAATGATCCTGGAGGTCTCCTCCAACCTCAGCAGTTCCATGGTTCTTTCTGTCAGAATTAAAGTATATTTCCATAATGCTTTTTATTATCCCAAAGGATCACCCAAAACAGCTTGCAAAGCACTTATGGGCCCCAGCACCAAAACGCAGCCACCTTTAGTGTATAAAGTAGCACCAGAACCATTGAGCACCCAGCTGAAAATTTGGAGATCTAAACAAAGAACAGCAGAGCTTTTCCTTAAGAGCAGACAGCAAAAAAGGAAGCCCAAACCCTTGTACTCTTCACGTGAAAATACCTCCCAAACCCTTCTCTTAGATCACTGCTTACAGACATCACCCTTTCATACATTGCCCAAGGCATCATTTTAACACAGCTGCCCCAAAACACTCATCATCCAAAATTAACAAGCAGAATAACTCAAACCCCAATTTAATATATTCACCACCTGATAACTGCCCATCAGTTTAATTTCACAAAACCACACCACGTTTATTTATCAAACAGAGAGAAATGACAACAAGCACAGAGCAAGTTTATTCCTTTATTGATAAATGTTTCCCAAACTTTCCAAACTGGATTGTTCAATTAAACGCAAACCCACAAAAATACTTCCAGCCTAAAATCCTCAACGTCCTCCTTAGAAGACACAAGGGGTAGCTCTGTTCTGACAAAGGAACCCCCATTCTGGTTTTGGAAACCTCGAGCTTCAGAGTTGGCTTTTTAAATAAGATCTTGAAGATTAATTTACAAAATGCAATATAACTATGTGATATGATGCATGGCATTGAGATCTGCAGGACAGTGAAGGATCTTCAAACATCTTCAGCTGATGTCTAGGAAGGGGCTATTTGGCTTCTTTGTATCCTACAGGAAAAAGGGGAGATAGTTACTCACACGCAGCATCCCTGCTCCAGGTTAGGGAACATTCCTGAACTACAAACCACAAGGACTGCAATATAATTTGGAAGGTAGGGAGAAGCTGTTCACAGCTGTCAGATGATCAGAAATTGCAATTCTCCACAAGAAACTCAAATTCTTTACTAAATCAGCCAGTGACCAAAGCCACTGAGAAATATACGGATGAAAATAAGAATCCTGATCATTCTTCACCAGCTTGAGTTGTCATGTGACTACAACAGCTTCACAAAAAGTTCTGGGGATGTCAATTCCAGACAATCCACAGGAAAATGGATCATCAAAAGCAAGAGCAGGCATTTGAAGAATCAAAAACCTTATTCAGAAGTTAAACGAGAGCCAGCTCCAAATACAGGTGACACCATTTGTGTGAACAAACCCGTGCCCTGAAATGACACTCCCAACACCAGCACTTTATAACAGATACTGAAGGCAGATGGTTTTCAGGATAAGGAATGGGCATTAACAGCCTGTTTAGCCTCAAAGTCCCTAGAGCACCTTGTGGGAAATGTCTCCCATTTCCCACAATAGCAGTTCCACAGGACTCATCCCAAAGCTTTAGTCCTTCCTGGACATGTCAGCTGCAAGGAACACTTCAGGGACTTATACACCACCTTTCTGATGCTTAATTAAAATAAAGTATGTGAAGAACATGAAGTTTTACATAAGGATGCTGTTGGGACAAACTACATTAGGAGTTTTTTGTTTGTTTATAAAGAGGGGACTAAAATCAGAGAAGTGCTGGACACGGCCCTGCACGGGGCCTCCAGACTGGATCGGTCACTAACAATCATGTTTTATTTACTGATTCTGCAAGCTTCTAAGTGAAGCTGAGGACGGAGACACTCACCAGTCATCCTGGTTCAAGAGGTAGCAGCAACCACACCCACTTTCTGGGCAGCTTCTTTCTTGGCTTGGTGAGCCTGCAACACGGCCACGGCCTCCTCCACCTCGGGGAGACAAGCCCAGTGAGACCTTCTCCCTCTGAGCCCCCCAGAGCCACCCCACCCAAGGGAACACACCCGTCTACCTTCGACCGGAGCGACTCCGGGGACTCCAGCATGTGCAGCAGCTCGGAGTTGTCAATCTCTAGCAGCATTCCTGTGATCTTCCCAGCGAGGCTGGGGTGCATAGCTTGGATCAGAGGGAACAAACGTTCTCCTGAGGGGAAAAGGAGTTCAGAGGAGTTTTGATTAAAACGAGTCATTTTTGAGATCTGAGGGGATTTCCAGATGGGAAGTTAGTGAGCACTGGAGTTTCACTTACCCAGCATCTGTTTCTGCTCCTGGGGAGGGGCAGCAGCCAGCATGGAGGCTGTCAGTGGCTCCTGGCCCTGCACATGCACTGCGGGCTGAGGTGCCTATAAAGGACAGACATGAGGGTTCTGAAATAGGCAATAGGCTGATTCCTTCATATTTAGACAATACTAAGGTATTCCCTCCTAAAACACAATCTTTGTCAAGCCCACAGCACACCTAATTTCCAAAGAAGGACAGGTAAGGTGGCCTTGGTTCACAAACATGCTCCCTGCAAGTCCTGGGCTCAAAACCCCATAATGTCATACATGGGCACTGTAAACCTTACAAAACCAGGATCAAACATTGTGAGACACTGAGAAAGAGCAACATCCACTCCTGCCTTTTTCACAATGCAAAGGTTTGCAGGAGAAGCAAACTGTGCTTTCAGTGATACTCTGGTGAGGACTTGGCAAAGAGGAGAGAGAATAAATGGTTGCAAAATAGGAACAAAGAAGCGAGAAAAATATCCTTACAGGAAACCTGGGCAAAAAAGGGCGTGGGAGCACAAGACAGATAAACCAATCAGCGTGCCCCTGGCAAAGGCACAACTGCCAAGTTTTTAAATTCCAAATTATGCCTGTCTGGGTTATAAAAGTTGCTTAAGTTTCTATAAAAACACTTCAGCTGCATGTGAAACCTGCTCCCTGAAGTAACTGCAGGGACTTCCCAGCCCAGCCCCTGAAGTTACCTGCAGAGGTTGGACACCTGGGTGTGGGCTGCGGACACTTGAGGCATATTTGTAAGGAGGGACAGCTCTGGGAGCAGGGGCAGCTACAGGTGGACGGGGAGCCAAATTCTGTGCTGCTGTGCCAACACCTGCAAAGGAAGGAGGACAGAGTGACAAACAAACACCTCCAGCGATATGCAAGCAAGTTGGGATGTCTGGTATTAACTGCTGAATCCAAACCATGCTCTGCACAGTAATAATCCTTTAGAAAGCAGTCTTCAAACTGTAACTTGCTACTTT